AAGTTACCGAAAATGGCTACAAAATGTTTAATTTCAGAGCATGTTTCCACTATTCATTTTGGGACACATCCACTGATTTCTACAATACAGAAATGTGGAAGCTTAAATATTAACGGCAACGAAGCCTAATTGCGTCAAAGTGGGTGACATTGAACAGTGTAGTATGGTAGCTACAGCTCTCGGGCACCGTCAGCTGCACCTTCAGGGCCGGATTTAGAATAAGAGAGGCCCTTCACAAACCACCTGAACAGGGCCCACGACATGGAAATGAAATGGGGTTTAACGTCCTACTGTTCTGCTCCTAACCTGGGCTAATGAAGACGGGCATACACCATACAGTGTGCTGTGAGGGAAATTTTGCCCGGGCAGCGGCACTATCGCCTACTCTTATATCGAACGACATGGACCTTGGGGCCCTGGGACAAGCAACTCGGTGAGAGGGTGGGTTGGGGGAAGTCATGCGGTTGGTGGTTCGTATCTCACTTTTAGGTGAATTTTTCATTTTCGTTGGATTATTTTATTTAAAATAATGTCTATTTGAGAGTAATGGATATGTTTGTTAAGATTCAGCACGTCGAAACTCCAATGGAAGGTCGTGGACAACTGCGGACGCCAATTCCTGTTGACGCCAGATGAGCCATGAACAATTACAGGCCTTTGAAAGTATTTTTTTTCAAGGTATTTTTATAAAACAGATACTAATGTATTTTAGGGCTGGTAGTAAACACCATATGAATGAAAAGGAAAATGAATTGTTAAGTTTTTTTTTATCTACTACGGTTAATTATCTCCAAAATAGGGAAATTACAGATTAATTTCATGGGTTTTTGTTTCCTTTACCTAGTTTTTGTCAAGTTTTAAATACACCCCATGAAAGAAGTAGCTATAGGGCGTCAAACTTTGGTTGATGAAAAATGGGGAATTTAGACAGGCTTTGATATCCAGTCCGTATACAGATCTTGTTCGCCAGAATTGTCTGAAGTTAATATTGTGGTCACAGCACTGAGTCATTGATAAACTGTGTGAGTTTGGTCTTTCTGCTACGTATAGTAAAGGTGTAAGGACTTGCCAAAGTTGGTATTTGAGAAAAGACAGATTTTGGCAATTTTTTCAATTTTCTCATACAGGAATTGAAAGATTTATCTAATATTGAATTGAAAGATTTATCTAATATTGCACATTTATGTGTTTTGGGACTATCCCAACCTATAAACCAAATTTGGTCAAAATCTGTGATTGAAGCCTTAGCACCTTCTGCATGGTTTTCTCCCGGACACGCTCTTAAACACTGCCAGTGTGACCTCAGAAAGATTTTTCTACTGCTCGAGTAATGAGAGAAATTGACTCATTTTTGGCCAAGAATCTGTAGAATGACTTGCATATATAAACTTAACATATATGTTTGTTTCATATTTGCTTCTAGTTTAAGTTCATGTGTTGTAGCCTTAGCCGTGAATATGCTCTGATCGACTACCTTCAAAATATCGGGTCCTTTCATGTTATATCTGAAATATTGAACCTGGTTGTTATGCATTTTAAAATCAGTATCTATCAAGTAAGGTTAACAGAAAAAAAAATAGTAAAAATATCTATATGCCTTCTCTCAAGAGCTGGATATATGTTCATTTTTTAACAATTGTCCGTGGCACACAATTGGCTATTTTTGGGGCGCTTTGGGGACATTAATAAAATGAGAAGGAATAGAGATACGGTTCAAGTGAAATTATGGGAATATGTCAAAAAGTTTGTGAATTTTTAAAATTACATATTTTTAATCTGCTATATCAAATTTGGTTACCATAGCAACCAAAACAGGAAAATATGCCTTTTTCGACCATTTTCAATTATATTTACCATAACTCAAAAGGTGATCACCACACTTTGAAGTGAGCAATTTAACATATTTGAAACCCATGTAATATCAAATGATATGGATTGTATAAGTTTGAGTAAAATGTGAAGGAGTTTGGGTTGTTACCATAGCAACCACATTTTATTTTTTTTAAAAATGTTATTTTCTAAATAATTTTTACATCAATATTTATTATTGTATTATTTTGAAATCAGTAGCTATCAGGCAAGAGTTAAAATAATAAATACAATCAAAATATGTATGTGCCTTCTCTCTTGAGCTGGAAAGGGGTTCACATTTGAAACACATTCCGCAGCAGCAAATTGCCCATTTTGGCTGCTATTGAAGCAAAAATAAAATATGAAGGAATTGAAATCTTGAAGGAAAATTTTGTTTACATGTCCAGAAGTTTGTGAATTTTTTAAAATTACATATCCTTACTCTTGTATATAACATAATATTTTGTTGTTAGCAACCAAAGTGATAAACAAACCTCAAAAATGCAATTTTATATCATTTTGAATTGTGTTAATGAAACATGTGATCAATGATCACCCCATTTTAAAGAAAGCTTTTAGCATCTAAAAGCAATGTGATATTAAATTTATAAATTGCATAATTGTTATAAATTTAATAATTTTAATAAAATATTAAGAACTTTGGGTGGTTGCCATAGCAACTATATAATTTTAAAAATAACATTGGAAGCTATAGGCCTTCATGATGACTTTGGCTAATGCTAGGATTTTGACTGAAAGAATTGCTTTGTTTTTACAATGTAGGCCTACTTTACATTTGAATATTTTCATTATTCCTTTAAATGTGGGATATTATCACCCACATGTTTCGGGGCTATTCTGCGTTGGAATATGCACCCAGGTGATACATATGTAATATTTGTAGATGAGCTAGGATTGGGGGTGTATAGCTCATTTATGGAGAAGTATTATAGTGAAGGTGGTCACTGCATTATATGTCCAACTCCAAACCCATTTCAATATTACTTTATATACAGTTTAAAAATACAATATTTACAAGATCATATCAAAGGGTTTGTCTTAAGCCTATCTCATCTGATGTCCCGTATATTTTTCATTCTCTTCTGTCTGTGTAGGGGTCTTTTAAACAAACTAATTTGCATACAGACAAAAAGACAATTATTTCAACAAATCAGATTAAAGATAAAATTAGGGATAAAAATATATAGTAACGAATCAAATGAAAGAAGTTAAATTAATATATAAATTTCATTGGGTTTATAATGAAACATAATTAATATAATTAGTTAATAAGCTTTAAGTCCTAAATAAAAGCCTTGACACTTGTTTGGCATCAATCTGACTGCATTGTTAACCATAAGTCTTTGCTCAAGGCATCCAAAGATTATAACACAGTCAAAACCATTGTTGCTTTTAGGCAATTACTTTATAGACTTTAAATCAAATTATTAACATTAAAAGTAAAGGCAGACAGACTAATAACCTTAATGTTAGCTATATTGCCTATGGACATGAGTAAAGAGTTAAGAATTAAATTATGTATTCTTAAAATAAAATTTGAAAAAGAACTAAAAATTAGTATCACTATTCGGTGATAATATCATCGAGCAACTCCCTTTTTTAATTCATATATTTTCGTCAACAATATCAAATCTAGGCCTAATAAATTTAATAAAACCTTCACCTTGTCACAAGGCTTGTGTTTGTCGGCCTAGATTCAATTTTTTTTTTTTACTAACAAATAAAATTAGGTGTTAAATATTTCCAAAAATCACAATGAATTAAACATAAATAATTAGTTTGAGAACCGATATATAATGATAAAATATTGAATAAACTGTCTTTGTGACAATCGGGTATCCGACTGACGGACTGTACTACGGCCATTTATTTAAATTATTTTTTGTTAGCGTTAATTCTTTTGCCATTCCAATTATTTGGGTATTACAATGGTCAGAAATCACTTTATTATTCTCCCCAAGTCCGTTCCTCCATACCGGAAATGATTCTCGCATACCCGTGCCGTGTTGATATTATCCAATCCAATTTCATTGTCATTTGTGTGCACATTAAATACTTTAAATTAGGCATGATTAACAGAGAATTTAGTAATTCAGAACATTGAAGTATGTGTCCATGTTACGCAATTTTTTAATTGTTGAAAAATATTTGGTGTTAAACGTCCAGACGTGTGGTAGCTGGTAGGAAATTCCCGTTTGACTTAGAATGTTCACATTCCTATAAAAAAGCGCGCGAATATGAGTCACGTGATGTAAACATTGTGCGGGCTCTGTCAAGAGGCGTTAAATTAATGGAATTATGTCTTTTCAGGCAAGTCCTTTATTCATATAACATAATGCTTGCTTCATAAATGAACATTGAGTTGCATTTAGATGTAATTTACCGCGAATATGGGTCTTGGGAACTTGTAATTTAATTTTTTCTTCTCGTGTTGAAATGACGTCATCACATGCCAAACTACGTCAATAATTTTCTAGAAAATTATCCACTGTATACCATGTTCAAGTGCTTGGCGGCAGTTCTTAAAATGCTCTGATTTTGTTGATTTTAATAGCATTGAAACGACAATAAAACGAACTTTTGATCGGTTGGTGGTGCTATATTAGCAAATCGCCTCAAAAAAAGATTACGCGAATTGAAGCGTTTAACTTACAAAAAAGGCATGGTATTTCGAAATGCCGACAAAGCACCCCCGACCGATCGAAAGATCGTTCAATTATCTTTCTAATGATATTAAAATGGAAACATAATATTAAAAATAGGAACTGCCGCCGAGCACTTAAAGTGGGGTACCCTCGATCCAAAACGTTGGCGTAACGTCAAAACACGCGAAATTGACGTTTTTTAACTGAAGTTTTTGAAATTAATATAAGGAACACATATATAAAAATTATATCAAACAAAAGAACAGTTTATCTGCTTCCAAAATATTTTTAAATTATTACAAATGATGAAATAGCAACTGTGTGACGTTAAGTTGAAAAAAGGTTACAAATCGGGAAAAAAAGACTTTCTTCCAATGCGAGCAATGGAGCCGTGACACCTACTTATAGCCTCTTTCACGTTTACAGACTTGAACTATGTGTGACAACAGTTTGATTGAAATTTTTATTAAGTAACATACATACCAAACCTGATTCTGGTTCAAATACTGCTAAAGATGAATGAAGATCAAAATATTCTAAAAATTCTCTAACAAGACAACCAACCAACTGACCTGTGAATTGATTTAACCAAATCATCAAGGCATTTATAAGACAGGATTTTCTGATATGGCCAAAATAAAGATGTTGCTAGGCAACAAAACATACGCCCACAATCTCAAACAGTTGTTGCATATATATTCTTTTGTCAGTAATGGGAGCATTTACAATATCTAATTGAATTCTAGATCTTTCTTGATTTCAATTAACTATGAGTCAAAAAGCTCTCACAGTTTTTATTGGAAATTGTTGAAAATCAAAAGGAATCTTCGTCTCATATAAATAAACTCTGTACACTACAGTGCTGGAGTTTGGGACTAGAATAGCCGAACACAGAGAAAACAAGTCAACAGTGAGGCTGATGTACCCCGCCAAAATCCCCAAATAAATACATGACACATATTAATTAATCGCACATTTATTTTTTTCAAAAGCATCGAGCAATTAAACTATACACTAAGATTATCTTGTCCCAAAGCATCGACCAATGAAATTGATTAGCTCTGCTTAGCTATAGCTCAAAATGTTAATCACTGAACTCATGTCAAGACATTCACCTAATGACAGCTACATCAAGTTTAAACATTCTACCCCAATTAAAAGCAGAGTGGGTATGTTCCAGTCTTGACCAATCAAATTTCTTATCGCTCCTTAGCCTAAGCAGAAAATTTGCACCGTCAAGGTCATGATATAATGAATCTATATTCGGAGCTTCATCACTCTCACTTCATTATAACCAAAGTTATCGTGCCCCAAAGCATCAACCAATCAGATGGCTTATCTCTGTTTACCATAAGCAGAGAATGCTCATCATCGAACTCTATCAAGGCATTCACCTAATGAACGACTACACCAAGTTTGAACATTCTACCTGAATTAGAAGGAGAGTTATTGTGTTCCAAAGTCTCGACCAATCAAATTGCTTATCGCTCTGCTTACCCTCCACAGAAAATGTTCATTATCGAACTTAGTCAAGGCATTGATGTAATAAAGCTATACAAGTGTCCTCACTCTCACTTAATAAGAACTACAGTTATCGTGTTCCAAAGCTTCAAACAATCAAATGGGTTATCTCTGCTTACCCTAAGCAGACAATTCTCATCTTCAAACTCCATCAAGGCATTCACCTAATATACACCTACGCCAAGTTTGAACATTCTAACTCAATTAGAATTCGAGTTATTGTGTTCCAAATTCTCAACCAATCAAATTGCTTATCGCTTAAATTACCCTGAGCAGAACATGCTCATTATCGAACTTAGTCAAGGAATTGATGTAATGAAACTAAACACCAAGTTTCATCACTCTCACTTAATTAGAACTAAAGTTATCATGTCCAAAGCATCAACCAATCAAATTGCTTATCTCTGCTTACCCTAAGCTGCAAATGCTCATCAACTCCATCAAGGCATTGACCTAATAAACACCTACACCAAGTTTGAACACTCTAGCTCAATCAGAAAGACAGTTATTGTGTCCCAAAAAGTGTGACGGAAAAGACGGACGGACAGACAGACAGACAAACCCATTTTAATAGTCCCCTGCTTTCTTTGAAAGGCAGGGAACAAAAAAATTCCATGTTGCGAGGGGATTTTGGCGAATCACTAGTGAATGTCTTGCTTGCCAAACCATCGTGAAGCCTTGTAATATTGTAATATAGTAATATTGCAGTGATGGGATTTTAAAATTTTTATTTGTTGGGACATTTTTTCCCAAAAATAAAGGGGCATAAGTCTTATTGTTATTCAAGCAGACAGTTTCAGACCATAATTAAAAATCACTTGTCAACAAAATTTTCAAATTCATAAGTAATAAAAAATAAGTGCACCTCATTATTTTTCATATTGAATTCCCGTACGATAGTTAAATTTATATCAGTAATATTCCTACAAAATTATGTGTTGTCGTAATAGTGTAACCGGTAGCCGTAGCTATCTTCTTTGTATTTCGTTTTCCGGAAAAGCGCTCCGTAGTTCTATATTTAGACTATGGGTGTAAGTTTTTGGTACCTATCGCTACTCTAGTAAAATCTATCGTTTTCTCGGCACAGTCATCGCCTGTTTAATATTTTGGTATTTTTATATTGTGTAAGGGTATATATTTCTAATTGCACATGCTGCCTGTGTTTTTATTGTTGTTAACTGTGTCTGCCGGCTGTACATGTATTTTCATGCAAGAACTTTACTATGTATTTATATGTACTTTCACTTAGTTTGTTATAATATTAAGTGGGCAGAATTTGTAAGTAAACATTTTTGATGGGAAATTATATGTATCTGGTAGATAAATTATCTAGCTATCCATGCCTATCCTTAGTTTTGTGGTGCCTACTCTGTGTCAAAAGTTCTGCATATTTTTTAGATAGTACCCGTGTCTGGATTTTTGATTCCATGCCGACTTGTCCAAGGGAGATAATATTAGCTTCTTGTTTATTAATTAGTAGGCATGATTAATTTAAGACTTATTTAGTATATTTTATCCTTTCAAATTATTATTTATTTACAATGTTGTAAGCCATGTGTCATGTTGGTTTAGTTGAGGCATGGGTTCTTTTATTTATTTTGTGTCTGTTAGTTTAGGATTTCACCCCACCTTTTATTACTAGGTGGATTAATAAGTTGAGTCTCATTGCCTCCATGCCTCCTCCATTGTCTACGATATCACCTTAGGTGGAAGTGGACGTAAAACTCCAGAAACGAACGAACGAACTCCATGCCTCCATGCAATGTCTGCGATATCACCTTCGGTGGAAGCGGACGTTAAACACTAACAACAACAACAACAACAACTCCATGCAAATGACTAAAAAAAACCAAAAAAAAAACCCCTTCATCAAACATAACACTGATTGTCTGCGATATCACCTCGGTGGAAGCGGACGTAAAATACAACTAACTACTACTACTCCATGCATTAGCCTTCGTGTCTTGTTGACTGCATAGTATTATCCTGACTCAAGAAGTGTTTTTGAGAAAGTGGTTTACATATATTTAGCCTTTGTGTCTTTGACTGGATATATTATCCTGGCTCAGAAAGTGTTTTTAGAAGTGTTTGTAACAGCGTTTAAGAAAAGTGTTTTGTAAGTGTTTATTTTTACATAGTTAGAGACGACCACAAATCGTCCCAAACTACGTAATTCCGGATACCCGAATTCGACTTAGCTATCCCCAACCAAATATTACATCCCACTTCTACTCGTTGCCACTGGCAACCTTTGATAAAACTGTCCTGTTTAATTGCAATACATGCTTAAAAGTATCCGTGTATCAGAAATGTACAGAAAGAGTACTGTTCATTTCTGATACACAGATACTTTTATACCGGATACTTTTATACCGTTTTAGATATCTATCAAGCAATAAGTAGCGGACGTTTAGTCCGACCCAGATCGCAATTGATAACGAGGCTCTAACCAATGTACATGAAACAACTAGTCAAAATCATAGTAACAAAACAAAATGGGGGGAACTACATGGCAGTTCAAAAACATATACAATGACATTAAATTAACATAACAACATATTACAAAAATCAATTATTATACATATCAATTGGCATCTATTTCATAATTTGGTTTGATTTATATTAATATGCAAAATATATAAATTAGAATATTGAATAATTATTTTAATTAATTGTGATGATAGAAGGCGCAGTTCTCTTGCTGGACACTTCACAGGCATTGAAAATAAGCAGGATGAAAAAAAAAAACGCCTAGAAAGTCATAAACTTTATTACAAATAAATTTCAACGGAAGAACCATCCGCCGATGCATACTTTCACCAGGAATGACCCACGTTTCGCATTTCCTTTACGCTACATTTAATAATATCGCAGTCCTCTACGCCATAGACAAGTTGTTTTGACGATGTGGTCTAAACAAACACGTGATTGTTTTACGCTCAGAGTATCATAGCAAGACGCACGTGTAAATACTACTCAGGTCGTCTCTCCACTGCGAAATCATTCTACCATGAAATGTAACGTGAGGCTCAGAAAGGGATAAATAATGAAAGAACAGAAAGTATTTGTCACTTTTCGGTTGAAACGACTCGATAATAAATACTATTTTTCACATTTTGCTTCACAATACTCGATAGAAATGTGATGTAAGTAACTTATTAGCACCTTTCCTCGGTGTATCGGTGAATATCAGGACAGTTTTGGTCGGGAGCCGCCCCGGCTGGGCCCCTCGACCAAAACTGCCCTGATATTCACCGATACACCTCGGAAAGTGTGCTAATAACTGCTACTTATATGTATAATATATATTTTTCTCGTTTTTATTAAAGCCTTTCTCAGTTCCTGTTGTTTTAGTTCGTTTAATTTATTAAACTAACAGTGTGCGGGTAACAATATGATAGAATGAAAGCGTGCCTATGTGTAAATTACTGTATTTTTCTGGGTATAAGTCGATACATTTTTCAGCTGAAGTCTGGCATTCGTTTTATACTATGTTTCGACTTACATACAGAAGATAAAAAGATAGGTTGCCAGGCAATGAAACATAAGCCCACAGCATCTAAATTGTCCGGGCAGTCAACAAGAGTTGTCGCATATTTTTACTTTTTTCGGTAATGAAACATTTATAATACATTAAAATCTGATTTAAGAGTAACAACTCATGAAGTAATTATCAGAAAACCATTAGAATTTGTTTAGTTTTTATAAAGTTCTGTCCTATGCTAACGTTTAGTATACGAAACTTTTAACATCATGGATTTAGCTGTTCAAGTCATAAAAATTCATTGAAAATCAATATACTTGTTCGTCTCAAGACCTTAAACTCTGTGTATCAATCTGAAGTCAGTTGGATGATAACTTTAGCCTCTAGAGCGTCACAAGATTTTTCAAAGTGATCAAGGGCCATAACTTTGGCAGTAATTATCGTTGAAAATCAATATGATTCTCACGACCTCAAACACTGTGTATAAATTTAAAGTCAATCAGATATTAACTTTAGCCTCTAGATCATTTACAGGATTTTTTGAAGTGATCATAGGCAATAACTCTG